TTGGCCTTGCGTTACCTGCGTGTTTTGTATTATTATGATTGTTCCATTGGTATGTTTAGGAAACAATTGGTTTAGTGTATTCTTTTTAAGCCATTAATTGTTGCCAAGACACCTCTATCACTTTTCACTGCAGTTACTTTTTGATTTGATGTTCCTTCTGATAGTTTGTCATCTTTTACTCCAGCTCCACAAATTTCAGTTTTATCCATTTTTGCCCCATTCCTTGTCCCCTGCTTTCCATCTGACCATTGGCTTCCTGTAATATATTCTCCTGATTTCGTTCCTTGAATACCTGTCTTTCTAAATGTCCTGCTTCACCAGATGCTTCTGCACTAATTATTGCCAGTCTTCCATGGGTTGCTATTTTTTTCCTTTCCCCAAGCTAATGCTTCCATCTCATGAATGAATTCATGAATATACGTTGAGACCTGATCATGCTCGTTAATGTCTCCCAGTGATGCCAACATTTTCTCTACTTGTGATATGAATTAATTTACAGGTATTTCTGACGTGTCATGTTTCAGCATGATTGTTTTCTCTCATCAAAACGTTATACCACACGGCTCATTGCATTTCGGACCAACACCACCTGACCAGTGAATTAAAACATGTGCATCTGGCCCTCAAAAGGAATGGATACTCTGACCGTACCATCCACCAAGCTGTTTCTCCCTCCATACAGAAACAACCACTTGATACTCCGATCAAAACCATCACACTGCCATATATAGCAGGCGTTACTAAAAAGATCTCCAAAATTCTAAACAAACACAAGATCCTGGTCCGGTTCAATACAGTGCACAAAATCCATGACCTGAATCCTTCCGTGAAGGATGTCATTCCTGACTTACAGTACCCCGGAGTTTACAGATTGATCTGCACCTGTGGTGACTGCTATATCGGGGAGACGAAACGACATGTCTCTGACCGAATTCGCGAGCACAAATCAGATTTTAAACATGGCAGAACGAATTCTGCCGTAGCTGATCACTGTTACAATGCTGTGGGTGATCACGATATAATTTTCTCCGATGCCAAAGTTCTTTGCAAACCCACGGGTTTTTATCAGAGATTTGTTCACGAGGCAATTCAGATTTACAAACACAGACACAATTTCAACCAAGAAGATGGTTTCAAATTAAGCAACCATTGGAAAGATGTTCTAAATCGAACCAAACATTAAACTAATTTTCAATGGTACAGTATATTTTTTCAAGTAGTGGTATTCCAAACTTTTGCAGCTGCTTAAATTCCCTTTTCACACCATCAATATGTAAACTCCCCCTTCGCCGGTCTGCACATGTTCACCCCCTCTACACCGTTCATCATGCTAAGTCCGCCAATTAAATGCAAATTTTTATGCTAATTCTTTTGTCAAGGCACCTTAATTCCTTTCACACAAGCTTAAAGGTCGCGGTCTGAGCTTGGCTGTGTTCACTCCAGCGCTGTCCTCGACAGTCTGGTCCCTTCACCTGATGAAGGCCACTTGTGCTGTGGCTGAAACGTCGTGAATTTTTTATTTTTTGTTGTTTTATACTTTTATGTGACTACCGAATAGAACCAAAGAGTATGATTGTTTTTACTTGGCAACGAAGCGAGAACGTGATATCCGTTGCACCTTTAAGGTATTTTGTACTGTTTTTAGCATCCTGGCATTTTTAAGAGAATGCATGGACCTGTGGTAGCAGCTCAATGCATATATTTGATTGGTTGCCATCCATGTACTTGTTAAGAGATTTCAAATCGTTGTAAATCTGGTCTAAGAGAGTGCATACTTTTTCAAAAGATGTTCTGGTTTTGCCTGCTGCATCAAGAAACTTTCTGTGAACCTGCAAAGAAAAACTTAAATTCATGTTTGATGCTTAAAATATGTATTTTTAACATAAAACGGAATATTTCACTTCGATATGAACTGGAGCTGGTTCCAAAAACCTACATCTGCCAAGCTTTATTCAGTTTTGGCTATTGATTTCAAAAACATCTATCATTATTCATTCAGTCGAAACCTATAAACACCCCACATATGGCCATGCTATTAAATCTTATAATATCAACTGATCTCGTAAGATTGTACCTATTAAAATAATTTGACTACAGTGATTATATCTATTGCATGGTTTCCTGCATTCGATCCAAAAAAGCTAAACATACACACTTAACATTTGTCATATCTAGGTGAAAAAGAAACATTGATCCTGCTCTTGGGATTTTTAGCATTGGTCCTTGTTAAGATCATTATTGTTTTGTATTTCTGATATGCAAGTCTTTAAATGTAATTTCATACACATTTGCAGTGTTAAAATTAAAACCTGACTAAACAAAAAAAATAATTAACAAATTCTAGGTATCTTGTCAGATTTAATATATTAGCCAGTCAGTTTATTTCAAATAAGGCCTATTGAGCAAAGATGCTCTTGCAAGCAAATTAGTTTATCTCGTCTCTCTTGTCAGAAATCAGGTAAGGGTTATAATAACCAATTACAGATCGTGGTCTTACTAGATTCTTGGTCTTTTTGGATCCGACAGTAATCCTCTTTTAACAAAATTTAATTCAGTGATGCAATTTACTTTCATATTTATTTAGTTTACGTTCAGGGGCCGTGGCAGAGTGCATTGTCGCGGTGATGGCACGCCCATTACGTTCTTTGTTGTCATGTAAATAATCTGTGAAACCTTGCTAATTCAAGGATTATGGGAATAATATCTAATACCATTCGTGGATACGAGGATGATGGACAAGATGAGTTTTGGTTTTGCATAGTCAAAATGAATAATTTTATAATGATATTATTACGGCCAATGCTATTGATGCCACCATATCTCATGATTACTTCGACTAGATTATGTAATCGTTTCAAAATCAACACCTGACTTTCTAAGTCTGTTATTATATTTTTCCATTTGGAATACCCAATGGCCATTCTCATGTGCACTGACCTTCGAGCTGAACAATACAATTCCTCCCCTGGTAATCTGCGACCATCCCTCCTGCACACGTGTCACACTCATCACAATCTCCCCTTCCTGATGACATCTACATCAACACCCTTTTTGCTAACACTCAGCCTCTGGTCTGCCTTCTCACGAGTTACTGTATTACATGCAGTCCGATATAGAAAACACTTTCGTCTATTACCTCTACATACAATACATCTCTGAGGCCCACACAAAGGCACTGCCATCAAGGCTCAAATATCCAGTCTTAGTACTTTAAACTACCAAATAGTTTCAGACATGAGATGAGTCAAGTTAATAAGCTTGCATTATAACATACTGCATGATTCTCAGGTAAAAACGATCGATTGTGATGCACGTTTTTCTGGTGTTTCCTCTTATCCATTGTTTTAGTGAACACTTCGAGCATAAACACTGACCAAACTGGGTAACAAAAAATATACCCCTAAACACCAAACATTACCGAATAAACCATAGCTAAATTAACTAATTTGCTTTGGATGGAAACTAAAGAAGAGCAGGAAGGGATTGAGATGAAATGTAAAATGGCAAAATAATAGAGTATACACAAAATAGCTCGCATTATGATTGATTTTCAGAAGCTGGTAGAGAAAATGGAATATACTAACAATAGAGGCAGCAAACTACTCTATTTTAACAGGCTTAACAGAAACCAGAGACTAAGAAACAGTTACGGATTGCACTGATAAAATATACACAGCAACAGTATCACAACAACATAATCATCAGCTTTATCATCAATTGCAGAAGCAGCATTATAATTTCATCAACGGAAAAAAAAACTGTTTGTTGGGTTCTGGATACGAGAGGGGTTTCGTCAAGAGTTGTAAAATATTCTTATCATCTCACTCCTCAGCATTAATTGGCTATTGGAACCGGATCGGGAACGTACTCCATATATTTCGATTTTAAATTTTTAAAAAATGTTTTAAAAAATAATAATAGAATACGACGTTTCGATTGCAACACAAGCAACAATCATAGACACGGAGACACACAGATAGACACACAAGCAGAGAGAGAGAGACACACAAATATACGTGTGAGTCTCTCTCTCTCTCTGCTTGTGTGTCTGTGTGTCTCAGTGTCTATGTTTTGTCTCTCTTAAGTTGAGCCATTTTTGAAGAACGTAATCAATCAGGTGGGGTGTTGACTGTTTTGCTGGCCAACTTTCTGTGTTGTATTGCATTACATTTCCAAGTTTACTTGGTTTGTTTTCTCATTCATTTGTACCTGATGATGGTTGCTTGTGTTGCAATCGAAACGTCGTGAGAATATTGTGTTATTTTATTTTATCAATTTATTCTTTTATTCTCATTCTACGTGACTTTACCGAAAGAACCAAAGAAGATGTACTCCATATATTCATGCTGGCGGCAGAGTGTCTCAACACACGAATAAATACTGAAAATCGCCCTTAGCAAGTAATTTTCAGGTGGTGGCATCGCTCATTGCTGGGAAATTGCCATATATATGAGCGCCCCGCTGGTGTTAAAAGGAGGTAGTTTTCAGATACTTTGATAATATTCCGAGTGGTTCTGCAAAAGCAACGTCAATGTTTTTCTGGTAAACTTCACTCACAAAAAATAGATACTTGAAAGTTTTTTTTATATATATAACAACGTGCACCCTGTGAACAATAGCTTATTTAAAATGTAACTTGTTCAATAACACCTCTTAATACAATATCAATGTCATCATTATTGGTGATTCATTTTCGAAAATTATTTTTTCGCATGAAGTTCAAATGACTTTTACGTGAATAATTTGTAGATTTTTGGAGATAATATATTATCAATACGAGTGTGATATATTGACCATAATTATACATCACTATTTAACACGTAGGCTTTCGTGACCAATATCATCCATAATAGAGGTTTTTTGGGTTAGATTGCGTGAATGTATAAATGTGTCGTTAAAACCCGCCACCACCCGACACAGCCAATTAGTAAAGGTTGTCACGTAAACAGAACATGCCAATTCGTCACTAGTACAGCACACCGGTGTGTTAGAGAGCCAAGCCACAGCATATACAATCTGAGTACAATGTTTTGCCAGTAATTACAATAGCTTTAAAAAAAACTGTATTATGGACAGTACTATTTATTTTAAAAGAATTATTAAATGAGCAAATTAGAATTTTATATTTTCAAATTAACTTCCTGAATAGTTAACAGGTGTACAATCGCTACTGAGAATTCTAGTGCTATTGAGAAGCGAATCATAGCATTCTTTTACAGTATTCCTTGATTCTTAAACATTCCGAAATGTGTTTTTCCACCATTAAGTTAATAATAAAATAAGGTCTATTGTTAGATCTATCTATATCTCTCTTAAAAATTTCTAGAGATCTGTATATATTTGAAAGGTTACATTTTTCTTTGTTCAAATTTTCACTGACATATTCCATTTGCTCGTTAAACTCGGTCAGCAATTTTACCATGGATCCATGTTCCTTTCTGAACTCTGCCACTACATCTGATGACCACTTTGCTACACACCTGTTGGTTACATACTTTGTATAGGCTCCAAACTTGTTTTTCAGTCCTCTTTTCTCTTTGATTGTGTTTTCTTTGTCTGAAAGTGCCACATTCTTTAATTCCCTTCTGACATCCTGTTCACATGCACCAGCATATTTAGCATGTTTCCCTTTTTCCAGGAACGATTCGTTTATTAAAATCTGGGATTTTGTAACTATATTTTCCTGTGCATTGACAGCTTCCTTAACTGATGACAGGAGTTTATTTAAGACAATTCCTATTTCTTTGAACGCAACCTTTATGAATTTCTTTCTTAATTTTACATCTTCCAACCAATCTATAATCTTATCAACAGACGTCGTGATTGTATCAATCATAACATTACAGTTTTTTTTCGTGTCACGATATTCCAGACCTATTGTGTTCACCTCCTGCACAAACACAGTCAATTGTAAGCCTGATTCTTTTTTAACAGACTTAATTAGAGACATATGCACTTCAGTACTTTCGTTGACATCTTTCCTCAGTGTTAGAGCTGCTTTGCTAAACCCACTGCGGTCCATGTTTCTCTGTAAAGAAAACATTGAACACAAACATTAGCCTTAAACTACCCCCTTTCAAATGTCACTTCATATAAAATAACAAAGGTAGAGGGCCATCATTAATAAAGGCAGCAATAATCTACCTAATATGAAAGTGAAAAACAAACACGTTTTGTTAATTAACGCGCATATTTGTTTAACTTATTGAAACACGACCAGTCACCTGTCTGCACATTATCTTTGCCCTCTATATGTTTTATGTATACTGTATTAATGTATTATTTAGAATTGTGTGGCTGTATGCACGTATGATGTGATTGAGTTAGTGTAAGACAAATGATTCGTTGATACCGTGTTGGCAGTGGTCAAACGTACGAATAACATAAAAAATAAAACAATACATACACAGATCATGTATATCTACAACAAAAACTCAACACATTAATCAATTACACTTCATTGAAGGAAAACTAATTCATGGATGATGTGCACACAATGGCCTTTCTTCATAATATAGGTCAGAAAGAAAGATTGGACACTGCACTATACACTGTCATAAATCTGTTGATTAATGTGTTAAGATTAGGTTGGAATACATTTTTGATTATTGAAGAGTTTTTCTGTTTCTAAATATTTACTCGGAAGCCTTCAAAAAACGTATATGCTAGTCCCCAAATCATAGTTATGCTGTTCCTCTGGCCTCCATGTATGTGTGATGAACAAGGATCATTGCCCAAACCGTCACTTAGATTCATTTTCCTTTTTAGGCAGAGTTCTTTACCAATATGAGTTTTTTGTTAATTGTGTAAGACAGGGTATTAATTAATTATCTAAATGCTCCCCAACGGTAGGGCCATGGTTCAAGATCCCTTCATCTCATCTGACTTCACTACCCATATTCAGCTTCCAATACCACACCCCATTCTGGGAAATCCTAAACCAAGTATAGCACGAGCAATAATCGTTGAGGTGGTTTCCCCCTTGCCTTCATCAGGCGGTTTTATTTATTTATTTCTGGTGGCAGGATTATCCGATGCTCACGTGGGGCAATGACTTACATGCGTTCAATTCCACAGTAACAGAATTATACACGCAATTTTGTACGCGTGAATATAACATATACTTTACGATAAACATTGCCAATAGTGAAACGAATGATGGGGCAGATCTCATCTCCATGAGAGTCAATTACACCCTGAACGACTACTGTTCACTTTATACAATGTGGTTATTATAGTTACTCTTGAGAGATGGGCTGATACTCCCTGCGATGATATTTTAACTCGGAACCCTCGGATTTTGAATAGACAGAACGTCTATCCTAAATTGCAGTGATCGAATATAACTTATGTAGCATAATAAATAAATATATCACATTTGATTTTATCCTTCAGGGTTCGGGCATCAGGACACATTCAAGGATCAGTGTCTAGTTGATAAGAGGAGTCCAAGTGGATTTCCGGGGTTGAGAGACCAAACATGGGAAAGAACAAGTTGACGCACTCAGGAGAAGAATAACGAGATTTGGGCAAGGTGCTCATGTGACGCGAAGCCTGAACTCTATTGCGTTGCGAGTCTCTGGTGTATTGTGTAACTTATTAAACTGATGAGGGATAGTATGCAAAAGCCTGCAAGTGGAAACACGTATATACTGTGTGTATTGGGGGGTGGGGCGGGGGTGAAAAACAAGTCTGGAACACATCCAGGAGTTGCGAAGCAAGGCTACTGTAAGATTCGTAACGTTGATGCTCAAATTGGTTTATTTTCTTTTGTATATTTTTGAAAAAATAAGATTTTAAATTTTTTCCAGAAATAGACAGAATCAAGTAGATGTAGGGTTGCTTCGCGACTAACAACCCTCTACTCTGAGAAGAATCAAATCTATATATGTTGGAGGGGTTATTGTAAAGACCTATGTGAAACGTTCTTCCTTTAGTAAAATAAATGTTGTGACCTCTTTGAAAAACATTTTCCTGGGTTTTGGGGGCTTATTTGCAAGCATTGATTGTGTTTTGGTTTCTGTATATTGTTTGGGGTTGGGTGATAAACTCCATCGATTTATGTACCTGTAACAGACGTGATATTGCTCTGACCACGCACAAAGTAATATCAACCAATCACTTTCCCGTTTGTGACAATGCCAATGGGAATTTTTGTTCATGCTGTTTCATTGCGTGCTCAGATGTGACGATAGTTTCGTTTTGGTTCTTGATAACGTCAACCATAATATTAAGTTGTGATAACATACCTTGTTATAATGCACCATAAGATGATGGATCCAAGTCTCACTGTGATTGAAGGTTGACTGACTTGCTCTTTACCTTATAAGGTTTCACCCCACACACATCAATCACAAACCATGTAAGGGACTTACTATATAGTTAAAATAACAACATATCATACTTCATACAAAAAAATAAAAGCGTTCTGGGTGGCTTCCTGTCTGGATTCCTGTCTGTCTGGATTACTATCTGCCTGGATTTCTGAGTTAAGGAAATATATGAGTGAGGTGAGTGATGGAGATAGAAGCAAAACATAGAGGAGGCAGATGAGCAATGGAAATATAGGGAGATAGAGAAGGGAAGAAGATAGAGGACAAGAAAAAGAGGAGGGAGGGGAGAGAGGGTAATAGATAGAGGAGGGAGGTGGGGAAATGAATTAGAGGAGGGCGATAGGAAGCAGATAGAGGAGAAATATAGTAAGGTAAGAGATTGAGATAGAGGAGGGACGTGAGTGAGGCATATAGAGGAGAGAGTGAAGGGAGGTGAGAGAGGGAAATAGAGGAGGCAGGTGAGGGAGTGAAATAGAGAAGGAAGGTGAGGGAGGGAGATAGGTGACATAGGTGAGGAAGGATAATTGATTGATAGAAGGGAAGTGAGGCAGATAGAGAAGATAAACAGAGAAACGTGAGGGAGGGAGATAGAGGAAGAAAGTGGAGCGAGATAGAGGCGGGAAGTGAGGGAGATTATGGAGAGAGATAAAATAAGACAGAGTAGGGAGATAGACGAAAGAGATGGAGGACGGAGATGAGGTAGGGACATATAGGAGGGAGGTGAGTGATGGAGATAGAAGCAAGAGATAGAGTAAGGCGATGGAGGGAGATGAAGGAGACACGTAGAGTGAGTTGAAGTAGGCAATTAGAAGAGGGAGGTGATGGAGGGATATACAGGAGTGAGAGAGAAAAGGCAGGTGAGGTATGGAAATAGATGAAGGATATAGAGAAGGGAGGGAGGGAGATAGAGAACAAGAGATAGATGAGGGAGGTGAGAGAGGGTAATAAGAGGCCTGAGATCAGGAACGGATATAGGGAAGAGAGATACTGGAGGAAGGTGTGGGAGGGAGAAGGAGGAGATGTGAAGGAAGGAATCAGAGGGCGATAGAAGATGACGGAGGGAGATACAGGAGAGAGGAAGGTGAGGGTATGAGATAGAGTGACGTGATTGAAGCAGATATAGGAGAGAGATAGTGGAGGAAGGTGAGGGTGAGAGATAGAGGGAGGTGAATAAGGCAGATGGAGGGGTGAGGAAGAGTCGGAGAGAAGAGGAAAGAGAGAACGTTTGAGCCAAAAATGGAGATCTGGGTATAATGAGAGCAAGGTGAGAGGTTAGAGCGAGAAATAGAGATATGGGGGAGCGAAGTGGTTCGATACAGGAGAGTGAGGTTGGGAATATAGAGGGAGCAGTAGAAGAGGGGACAAGGAAATAGAGAAACAGAGACAGCATGAGAAATGGCTATAAATTCGGATATACAGGAGAGACAATGCAAGAGAAAGGTGGAGTGAACACCTTCATAATAATTGAGACTCCACTTTTGAGTTGTCAAAAATTAGAAAGTGTAGCATTTTCTTAAGTCATGGACGTATGTAAAGTTACTACGCTGTTACTGCAGTTGAGCATTCCTAGATTCAATACCATCACTTATGATAATCCCCACCTTAGCAGTTGAACGGAAGTCAGAGTGCGTCCAGTCCAAGGGATGTTTGCTTCGCCGCTGTGTTTGCAGACCCTTGGCACAGCTGTGGAATATAATATATCATTGCTAGTGAGGCATGGACTTATTGAAATATAATTAAAGATCCGTGGTGTAGTTTAGCATTAATCCAGTGTCCTGATACCTTAACTTAGACGTTGAATGACACGTAATAGGAAACACAAACATCGGATGCAAAAAATACATATGTTAAGGGCTTTCTGTAAAGGAGCAAATTATTAACGTTTTATACGCGAAAGAATAGCCGCGGAGGATGACTGAATACCCCGAGAAGGACGCTCACATTTATATGTGGGTGGAGAGGAATGTGGGCTGTGACGCATAACGTACCCTAGCAAATAGGATTCTTTACTACTTGTGGGCAATGCAAAGTTGAACTGAAACAGTATTTATTGTTTTCGTGACATTTTGAATTTAGATACAGATGTAGATTATCGCCTGGATAATTGTGTTCAGTTTGTAACTGCATCAACGTTTTCATGATCAATCAACTGCTGAATGAAAGCCTTCAGAGGTCATCATCATATACCAATGATTATGTGATGGAAAATTCCAGAACATTTGCACAAGCGCTTATTAAATTGCTCCATTTCCAGGAAAGTTGCTCTCTTTGGTGCATTCCCTCACATTGCTGCCACTGTTATTCTCGAACAGCAGTTATCATTCTTTCTGTTGGCATGATCTGTCCAAGTCCATTTTTTAAATCAAGATACAGTATGGACAGTCCTCGACTTATGAACAGTTACTGTCTTGAGACCCGTTTGTAAGTCGATTTGTTCGTATCTCGGAAATCAACTCATGGTGTACTTCATTACAGGTCAGACACAGTCAGCTTTGCTGGTAGCAAGTCAGAAAGGTCACCAGTGACATGTGATGTGCCACAAGGTAGTGTGCTTGGTGCGGTGCGCTTCCTACTCTCCACCATTGATGTCATCTGCATTGCACATTATCATAATATCGGCCTGCATTCATATGCTGATGATATACAGCCCTACATTCACTCAAAAGGCAATTTGTGTGTCTTTCACGTTCCACCTCTGATATTGTGCATTGGCGACAAACAGGTGGATAATGTCAACCCGTCTTAAGTTTAACTGGAGCAAAACTCAATTCATCACACTCGGAACCCACCATCAGCTCGCAAAAGTAAATTGTGAGTCCATCTACATAAATGGCCGTGACATTTCAGTGTCACATAAGGAAGCGTGCCTCTCACATCAGAGCAGCAGGCAAGGTGGAAGGCTGCAGCGTGGAATCTACAAGACATGGCGGCAGCGGTAGAGAGCAGGGGGGCTCAAGGGTTAACACCCCCTCTGCCATGGAGAGCCATGCCAAAATGCTTCGTGTGTGGTCGGTCGGGCCACACTGCTGCGGACTGCCGGAGTGACGAGTGGCATTGGGGGAGTCACCCGTGCTCGTTGGGCCACCGGCACAGTCAACTTAAGCCCCGTTGGACCGGGTCTCTGGGGCCCACCGAGACCGCCAAGTACGAGGCCTCAGGGAACGGACCCGGCGGGCGATGCAGAGCGGTGAGGGGCCACGTCCTTTGAGCCGAGGACTCCGTCTCCATTGTCTCTTGGCCCTCTGGGTTCCAGAAGTGCAGGACCCTGCTGGGATGGGGGTGACCGGCACCATGGACTGGATCACGTGAGCTTTGTCCCCGATTGGGGGGACTCTCCCTTGCACTGAGAGAGGATTCTGGGGGTGAAGAGGTGTTGGGGTTAAGGGCCTGGGTAAATTGGGAAACTGAGGCGATGTGTGGATTCGCGAGCTCGAGGTGCTGCGTGTGTGTGGGCGGGGGGTCGCCGATTCGTGGATGGGGGGCTGTGAGGGAGTTGCCAGATCGTGAAGTCGGGGACGCCGCATGTGCATGGGGGGTTGCCGATTCGCAGATAGGGGGCTATGAGGGAGTCGCTGGTTCGCGAATTCGGGGATGACACATGTGTATGGGGGGGTCGCCGATTCGCGGATGGGGGGCTGTGAGGGAGTCGCCGATTCGCGAGTTCGAGGACACCATGTAAGGGAGTGTTGGTTTGTTATCGGGGGCGGCACCAGGGAGCAGTGGAACGTGTTGTTGATTGCGGGAAATGTCGCGGTTGTAATGGGATTGTGACGGAGTTTTTTTTGTCATTGAGGTTCCTCAGTTTAAGGGTATTGCCCTGCCTGCCACCAGTTGCTGCTGCTGTGTTAACAGCGGGACGGTTATTTTTTTTTAAGTGGAGGGGGCGGTGATGTAGTGACATAATGCTGAATGTTGGACAGCAGCAGCCACTGCAGGTGGGCACTTAGCACACACGCCGCGGGTGTGCCGGCAGGGCGGAGGAACTGGGGCAAGGGTCATGATAGACCTCATGTGGAAGCCCCTGGAACCCTATAGAGCAGCGGTCCCCAACCTTTTTGGCACCAGTGACCTGTTTCGTGGAAGACAATTTTTTCACGGACTGGGGGGGTTCATCATTGGGTCTTTCACCCTTTTCAAAGAAGCTATCCAGCGACGTTTGTTTTTTATTCATTTTGGCTAGGGTTAGCTTGTGGGCTTACCAAAACTGTAACTGAGACAAGTGCGCAGTGCGGGAAAGAGGTGCGGACGGAAGTGGTAAGTAAAATAATGGGCGGGCCACGCGCGGACTCACCGCTCACCTCCTGCTGTGCGTCCCGGTTCATAACAGGCCACGGACCGGTACCGGTCCGCAGCCTGGGGGTTAGGGACCCCTGCTCTAGAAGGTTCGAGAAGGGAGGCGTGGCTAGGGTGGAATCACATGGAAATGCCAGGATTTTTTGGAAAACAATCAAATCTATTGAAAAGGCATCCAAAACAGACAATCTGCCCGTTGAGCTTAACCGAAATGGGGAATATTTTTCAGATCCCAAAAAAATAGTTGACAATTTTAACCTTCATTTTTCTGAAGCTGGTAATCTTTTTGATAATGTATTGGGAGTCACCCCTGCTCATGCAAATTCTTACACCCCTGGCCAAACATTAAACGAATTTAGTTTCCAGCCAATCCACAAAAGTAATGTTCTGAAGCAACTGTCCTACCTCAAAGGGTCCTCCTCTACCGGAGCAGATAGTATTCCTGTCTTTGCTCTACTAACTGTTGGTCACCTAATATACAAACCTATAGCCCATATTTTCAACCTGTCCAATAAAAGAAGCATCAGTTCCTCTAGATTGGAAACATTCCTATGTCCGTCCACTTCACAAAGGGGGCCCTAAAGATGATCCAAATAACTACCGTTGATGAAAATTTTTGAAAAATTATTGACCTACCAAATTAGCAGTTTCCTGTCCACCAACAATCTACTACATCTAAAACAATCTGGGTTCCGAAAAAAATACAGCACCACATCTGCTGCATTAGACTCTCTGAATCACATTTACAGTAGCCTTGATAATAAGCAGTACTGTGCCTGTCTTTTTCTAGACCTGTCCAAAGCTTTTGATACAGTAGACCACAACACCCTGCTTAGTAAACTAAGTTGCCTCGGTTTTTCCAAAAACGCAGTAAAATGGTTACAAAATTACCTCTTTTCTCACACCCAAACTGTATTCAAAGATGGTTGGAGGTCAAACAGTGTTAAGATAACAAAAGGGGTTCCACAGGGTTCCATCCTCGGCCTCCTTTTGTTCTCTCTTTATGTCAATGACTTGGGCACTGACCTGGATCATTCCAGGGTAAACCTTTTTGCAGATGACACGATACTGATTACTGCTGGCCGCTCTCCGGATGACGTGATTGCTAAGCTACAGGGTGATTTCAACAAACTACAACATCAGCTAGTTGCTCTTAAACTAGTCCTGAATACCTTCACAACCAAGGTGCTATGCTTCTCACCAGGACTAAAGCAGGAAGTTATTTTTCCCCAATTACATTCCTTAAATAATTGTCAAATAGAGCAAGTCAAGATCTATAAGTATCTTGGGGTCATCCTGGATTCAAAACTGAATTTTGAAGATCACATTGATTATATTGGTAAAAAGACAAATAAAAATTGTTTTTCTGTATCGACACAAGCACTGCTTCCCCCCAATGTTCCGTTTGGAATTGATAAAAGCTACCATACTGCCTCTACTTGACTACTGTGACATCGTGTATAAATCAGCCCCAAGTACTGTACTGAAGAAGCTTGATTCCATCTATCACTCGGCCTTAAGATTTACATTGAACTGCCCATATAGGACTTACCACTGTGATCTCTACATTGGGTCAAACTTAACATCTCTTAATGTTCGACGGCTTGTGCACCAGATCTTATTTATTCACGATGTACTTACAAAAAAATCCGCAGACTACCTACTGGATCTCCTCTCTGTTTCAAAGAACAAATTTGACCTCAGGTCTTCGCTCATTTATCAGCTTGACATTCCCTATTGCCGTACAAAAACTGGAGGAAGGGCATTTGCTATTGATGCCCCCAGAGTCTGGAATGCTATTGCCAATACACTGCAACTTGAATTGCTACCAATGAGATCTTCTCTCAAAACTGCTCTAGAGGAGTTGTACACCCCTAGCTGCCACTGCTATTCAGTGGCCTAAAATATGGCTCTAGATTTTGGTGTTATAATTTATTTATGTAGTTTATTGTTAAAAATTTGGTCACAGTCCCTATGATCACTGTTACATTGCATTTATGGCTTTTATTTTGGGGATTTAGAAAACTTTTTTTGTTTTGGCCATGTTTTTTGTTTATTGTATACGGAGTTAGACTGATGTCCTTAATCTTAGTTGTCTTGTGGTTGTTGTTGTTATTTTGACTTGCATCCCACTGGGATTTTTTGCACACAGCGTTGGTGTACGGTGCTATTTCAGGAATATTTTTGATGTTTTTTTCCTGGATTTTCTGTTTGCACAGTCACATAATCACTTTAAGATGTTTTCTTGTTCATGTTTTTTTTGTTTGTTGCGGTTGCACCCGATTCAAGAGCCGAATGGCTCACAGGGCTATACCAAATAAATGAACTATGAACTATGAGCCAAGCCACGCCGAGGGGAATATAAGCAACCGATAGCGAGTGCTCCGGGCTGCCGGTTCTGGGATTGGACTTGTCTCGTCGTCGCTGTTATCATCGCTGCCCTCGTCACACTTTTGCCTGCATTGCGTGGCCAGGCAGTAGTTGGCTGTCCCAGTCGATGCCGTTGGTGCAACGTGGACGACAGGGTCATATCTGGAACGGGTCGTGCGGCAGCGGGGTCATGTGTGGGAGAGAGGGGGCCCGAGGGGTGGCGTGAGCTCGGCAACAACAAATAAAAGGGCAGGGCGGTGCCTCCTATGACCACCTCGTCTCCGGTTGACTGTGTGTGCGACGCACGCCACCCGCCGCACAGACGACACTACACATGTGTAGTGACATAGAATGGGTCACCTGGCGCGTAGGGCTGGTAATTGGTAGAGAGCAGGATCGTGGGTGTAGCAGTCCGATCTACCAGCAGGGCAGGTGAAGATTGGCACTGGAGCGCGTAGCGCCGGTTGCTGGTAGAAAAGGCGCATTTGAGGATACAGGAGCCGGTCTGCCAGTATGGCATGTGATAGGCCGGGGTAACAGATGTAGGGTAAAGGTGACAAGGGGACACATGGGGCAGAGCCCAGAGCCTTCTGGTAGGTTCTAGAAGGGGGCGTGACTGAGGGCGGAGCCAGGCCACACTGAGGAGGATAAAAGAGAGGCCCCGATGCTGGGTCAGGGCAGCTGCGGTTTGGGAATGGAGCCCGTCATCTACAAAATCGTCCTCCTCGTCGGTGTTGGTTCAAGCAGTGTGTCGGCTTTCCTGACCCATATGTAGTTATCCCCTGTACTGTGTGAAGAGTTGTGCCTTCTACGACTAGTGTGTCTTTGAGTGACACACCACACATGTGTTGTGACGTAAATGGAGTCATGGTATTTTGCGCCAGCTGCTGTCACAAGAGTGGAACTGTACGTCTTGAGCCTATCTCTGTCACCAGAGTAGGTATGGCAGGGAAGCGGGCCCTAAGGGGCATAGTTCTGGTAACAGAGGGAGGGCAAGTGAGGACGTGACAGTCTGGGTGAACCCAAGGGGGCGCGTGACCGGGACGAGGTGACGAGTGGGCCCAAAGGATGGCTTGAGAGACACATGATGAGTGGCCGAGAACCTTCTGGTAAGATCCAGAAGGGGGCATGGCCGAGGGCGGAGCGAGGCCACG